CAGTAAAAGGAATTAATTATAATTTTAGTAGTTCGACATTGAGATGGTCGAACTTTGATAGCTTTGGGAACGTTATTTAGTCAGACGAGCCCAAACATTGGGTAAAGCGCCGGATTGGTTCGGCGAACCGGCCAATCCAAGAACCAAGAAGCGTGCGTTAAAAGTTATGTGCGCAATAAACACGGAGAAAGGGAAAAGCGACCGAGGGTATAAATATCGTTGCCCGGATGGCAACGGGGTCTTTTGTTCCGGTTCGGTTCGTTAGTAAAGTCCGCGTAATAGAAGTCCCGCAAAGTATTGCGTAATAAAAGAATTCGTGATTCAGCGAGCGTTAAAAACACCGACGAAAAAGCATCTCGATCGGACGCCGCGAATACGGAGATTTCGATCCCGAAACGGATCGAGCGCGAGTTTGTCGCGCATTTATAAGACGTGTTCTTGAAACATTATACGCGATTTCGGTTATCTTTATGCGTTATAGCGCTGTGTCGGTCGTGGCAGGGCCGAGTCGTTTCCGCGGCGCATTTAGTGACGCAAACCGAATTGCGTTTAAAGCGTATCCCCGACCGCTGGGATTCCCGGCGAAAGGCGAGATCGCGTGATCCGCGAAGCGCGAGCGATCGTGTGCGCGGAAATTTGAGTGTGAGTGCGTGTAAGCGTGAATGTGAGCGTTTCAATTTTCAAAATAAATATTATAAACATTTCACTGAACAAAGTCTAATTCTTTTGCGGACCTCACAAAAGTCGCGTGCGCTCACATTCCGAACTCTTAAAACGAGAACATCGTCAACTGCCGCTAACCAGAAGGAAGGACGAGGATCCGGTACATCTGGGCGGCTGATCCAAGGAAAACTACCTTCCCTGTTGAGGGTCAAACAGGGTGGCGACCGCAGTAAGTCTAACATTTACCTAAGACGAGAAGGGTAAGGTTCATTGTCGTTGTACGAACGTACTTAGGTCAGTCTCGTACTTCATAGAATATCTACAGTAAAATTGGCACTTAGAGTCGGCATATCAAGAACCGTGCGGGCGTACGATAAGTGCGCTGACGAAAGGGGTCTTCGGGGAAAAAGGTCCGATGGTCATATTTAGAGA